CCAAAGCAAGTCACAACAGACAATAAAATAATTAGAAACAGACTTCGAACATGTTGTTAAGAAAGGTTTCAAATAGTTTCTAAAAACTGACTCTAAAGCCAGCTCTGGAGACCAAAGTTATTCTGGAATGGTCTGTTTTATCTCCCTGTTATAAGAGCAACGGGGACGGAGCCAGCCTGGCTTCTCTTGGGAAAGAGGGAGCTCCATAATTGTGGTGCTCCTACCGAGCAAGCCCTGTCTCATGCACTTACTAAGCTAGAGGCTCATGGTGGCATGACACGCAATACAACCTTTTTGCACATGTACACACAGGAAGAGGCAGTCTTTCTGATGTCTTGGCCTTTAACCATTCAGGGCTTTGGGTATCAAAACAAATACTATGAACTGAGTTTTGGAGCAACTTGAAAACTTGTGCACACGGTCTTTAAAATGACCACCAGCAACAGTCTGATTTTGTAGTCACTGTAGCTTCTGAACACGTCTCATGTCTCACACTAGTAATTAAGGCATCGATCACTGTGGCCAAACTTCCTCAGCAAGGTGTGCAAAGCCATTCCTAATCTGCCTTATTGCCATTGGCTGTGATTGCTGGGGGTTGCGGGTGGGGTTACTGAGAAGTCTTGTCCCAAAAAGAAACTTTTAATGCTGCTGATCGGTCCTCACCCAAACAGTAGCAGTTGCACGGTGGAACAATGAAGGACGAAGGAACATCCTGTTTTTTGAACAATCCATTCCTGTCGTCCACAGCGCAAAGGTTTATAAGAAAGGATAAATCTAATCATTGCAGATCTCCGGGGTGTTGACCCTTAATCATTCATTTCTTCTGTCAGACTCTGCTGATGTACACATTTCTAAGGCCATTCAGAAAGTCTGCCTTGAAGTAAGTGAAGATGGCACTGAAGCGGCAGCATCTACTGGTAAGGACATGACAGAGTGCTTATTCAGCCTGTTGGGGAATATGCTAATTGACCTTCTCTGTTTAATTTCTTTGACAGTGATAGGGATGGATGCTCACTGCCAACAATTGACTGCCATGGGCTGTACTTTTTATCTCTGTACATTTCACAAACTGCATTTTTTTTTCTCTTGAATAGAAAATATTATTTCATTTTAGGAGTTTCGTGGCGCAGTGGTTAAACTGCAGTGCTGCAGTTAAAACTTTGCTCAGGATCCGATGAGTTTGATTCTGGACTCAGGTAGCCGGCTTGAAGTTAACTAGCCCTCCTTCCTTCTGAGTTGGTAAAATGAATACCAAGCTCACAGGGTGGGGGTTGGGGGAAGGCAATTTGTAGCCTGCTTAAATATATTGTAAACCATCCAGAGAGAGCTTTAAGCACTACGGGGCAGTATATAAGCAGCATTTTGCTCCGGTTTGCTTTATTTTATTTTATTTTTAAAATGCACAGTCCACTTTCTTGAAAGGATCTCACACTGAAGCACTTTTCACCAGATATAGTACTTAGATAAAACAAAAACTGAGCATTCAAATCAAACTTCATTAATTAAAATTATAATAATTCAGTTATAACCAATAAAATAAAATGGGCCTCAAGAACTTTTGGAATAAGAAGCATTGAGATTCTATGAGGGTCAAATTTGGCCTTCCTGTGCTTATGAGACTATTGGTTCTGTACAAATGATTGAAGATGATCTTGTCTGCAAGATTCTCTTATGTTTGGTTGTGGCAGAGTCTACGTACATATATTTTATATACATATGTTATGAAACTCACTGAAGACCTTGGGTTCATCACAATCTCTTGGCTGAACCTGCTTCACAATTTCCCTTCAACTGCACTGGAGAAAATGAGAGGTGCTGGTGATGATTATGTGTGCTCTAGAGATGGCACTTTGTCTTGGTTCCTGGGTCGTCAAACTTGACAACAATGGCACTGAAGCGGCAGCATCTACTGGTAAGGACATGACAGAGTGCTTATTCAGCCTGTTGGGGAATATGCTAATTGACCTTCTCTGTTTAATTTCTTTGACAGTGATAGGGATGGATGCTCCCTGCCAACAATTGACTGCCATGGGTTGTACTTTTTATCTCTGTACATTTCACAAACTGCCTTTTTTTTCCCTCTTGGATAGAAAATATTATTTTATTTTAGGGGTTTTGTGGCGCAGTGGTTAAACTGCAGTGCTATTTCTCCTCCTCTTGCTAAGCCCCACGGGGCATAGCAAGAGGAGGGAAAGCGGGGATCAAAGCGGTCCCACAGTGGCTGAGTGATCCGTTTGATCCCTCTTTGATCCCTTCCCTCCTCTTCTTATGCTGCATGGGCATAGGAAGAGGAGGAAAGGGGAACCAAGCCATCCCCCAGCCCCAAGGGTGGGATTCCCTTCAGGCAGGCTTTAGCAAACCACCCAAAGGGAAAATCCCTCTCTGCTTATGCCCCTGAGGAACAGCTGATCTGCGGGGGCATAAGCAGATAGAGAACGAAGGGATGAATATAAAAGGGTTATATTTGTTGATTCATATTCGTTGGGGTCTCTGGACCCCAAGAATACAAAGCAAGAAATATCTGATGAATCAGGGATATTTAACGAATATGCTGATTCTTTTTTATATTTGTCCCCATGCCTAGTGTGCTCTATCAGACCATTGGCTGACCATACATTTGTCAGGAATATGAGCATAGCTGTGATCCTTTTCACTTCACCGCCATGTCAACATGGTTATAATTTCTTATCATCTCACAGCATATTACAGATATAAGTTTTGCTTGGATGTAAAACAGAGGCAGGAACTTGACCCAGTAATTGAAGGAATTGCCCTTCTTTGAGAAGAGGTGCTTGTTAATGCTGGGTTTTTTGCCCTCCACTTCTCCAAGGCCAAATGATAATTCAGAGAATGTATTGGCTGCAAAACATGAGGTTCGAAGAGTCAAGACCCTGAGGAACCATTTGTTAACAACTCCAATAATTAGTGACTTTGTGCCCATCCAAGCACATTGGAATATGTTTAATGTTTCTCAGCAGTCTGGAGGAATGTGAAACAACAGTATTTGAATTTCTATGATTTCAAGGCTGTAGGGTTGTTTGTGGTTCCTTTGGAGTAAGCTCAGTTGAGCACAGGTCCCTGGGTTCAAAGTAAGCAAAGGAGCAAGCACTTTCTTACTGAGGATGCAGGAAACTGGAATGAAACCTTATCATACAGAGCAGAGGTCAGCAAGCCCCTTGACCTGATGTCATGTACCACTTGGCTTAATTTCAAAAGCTCTGCAAATCTGTGCAAGAGTGATCTGTCCTTTTTTCAGCAGCAAGTTCACAGAAAGGGACAGAGGCAGGGAAAAAAGAGATTGCTGCATAAACTTCAGGTTTTGAGTCTGGTGGCACCAAAAATAAAAAAATGTTGCCTACCCCAAGGTATAACAATATTAGTTCCCAGAGTACCAAGATGACACTATCCACTTGCAAAAGGGAGGTATTTTCCGGCTGGGAAGAACCCCAAGGTTAGTACAGAGGTTGGGGTTGAATAATCCAGTTTTTTTTTTTAAAAAATAATAATACATCTCCTCTAATTCCTCAGCTAGCATGGCTCCTTTCCCAAGCTCTACAAACTCAGTGTGGAGGGACAGAACCCTCCCATATACAAAACAGCTTCAAACAAGGATTTAGCATAATTAGTAGGAATGGAATGATGGGCGCCTACTGGGATTAAAAAACAGTATCCAGGAAAATATCATAGATGAACAGCATAGATGAACAACCTGCCCTGTCATATTTTGTGGCAGATTCTACTCCTTGAAATGAAATGGTCCAGATACATCACAAAGTTCTCTGATGCAATCTAATTTTAAGTGAACAGGAACTGAACACAAGCACATAAATACAAATCAGGAGTTTTTATGAGATTTATTTATTGCTTGCCGAGAGCACTCAATTGAGCACAGGTCCCTGGGTTCAAAGTAAGCAAAGGAGCAAGCACTTTCTTACTGAGGATGAAGGAAACTGGAATGAAACCTTATCATACAGAGCAGAGGTCAGCAAGCCCCTTGACCTGATGTCATGTACCACTTGGCTTAATTTCAAAAGCTCTGCAAATCTGTGCAAGAGTGATCTGTCCTTTTTTCAGCAGCAAGTTCCCAGAAAGGGACAGAGGCAGGGAAAAAAGAGATTGCTGCATAAACTTCAGGTTTTGAGTCTGGTGGCACCAAAAATAAAAAATGTTGCCTACCCCAAGGTATAACAATATTAGTTCCCAGAGTATCAAGATGACACTATCCACTTGCAAGAGGGAGGTATTTGCCGGCTGGAAAGAACCCCAAGGTTAGTACAGAGAACTTGCCATGGTCTGCTGTGGTCCACATAGTCAAAGACCTTTGTGCAGTCAATGAAGCAGAAGTAGATGTTTTTCTGGAACTCTCTGGCTTTCTCCATAATCCAGCGCATGTTAGCAATTTGGTCTCTAGTTCCTCTGCCCCTTTGAAATCCAGCTTGTATTTCCATCAGTTCTCGGTCCACATACCCCTGAAGCCTACTTTGTAGGATTTTGAGCTTAACCTTGCTAGCGTGTGAAAGGAACCCCATGAATAGAACAATATAAAAACTAATGGATTTCTCCAGGTGAACCAGACCAGCATATTAAAAAGAACTACCTTTGGAGGAAAATTGAGAGCTAACATTGGGTGGAAAAAGGTTTTGTTAGATTTGACAATCTTGGTTACAGTAGCATACCTACACCTCTTGGTGTTTATTGCAAAAAACAAAAACTGCACCTGGACAAATGAATTCACACATTTGGGAAGCTCAGAGGGAGACTGTGTGCACAAGTGAATACTCTTTAAAACAAGAGATGAAAATGTGCACGTCCATCTTGGATGCACACCTTAGTCCTCAACTGTAAGGATGTGTCACTGGAAACCAAGGCAAAGAGCATATAGCCAGGTATTTCTGATTCCTATGTACAGATGTGAAAGCTGAACAGTGAAGAAAGTTGACAGGGGGGAAAAATCAATTCATTTGAATGTAGTGTTGCAGGAGAGCTTTAAAATACCATGGACTGCCAGAAAGGCAAATAAGTGGTGCTGGATCAAATAAAGCTTGAACTTTTTTTGGAAGCAAACAATGAGGTTATCACACAGTGGACATCCCATGGAAAGACTCACTTGCAAAGACAATAATGGGTGGAAAAGCTGGTGGGGCATTGCTGGGAAAACCTACCTTTCCAGATTACAGCTCTCAGAATCTTCCATCCAACCTGGATATTGTGAAAGATATAATCTCAAAAAATAACTTTTGCCTGCTATGAATGAAGCTGACAAACTGTGCTTTATCTTCATGGGTGGGTTATCACGAGATATGGGACTATTCATATATGAATACAGATATCTCCGCATAACTGGATTTAATGAGGGTCTGGGCCCTCGGGCCACTCATCCTTCCAGTTATGCCTGGAGCAGCACTTTCTTCCCACTCAGCTAGCCACTCCAGGCAGGAGGAGGGAGGATGAGTCTCCCTGCATAGCTGCCAAGTGTCCAGCCGAGTGGGAAGATAGCAGCATTCTGGGTATGACTGGAAGGATGAGAGGGGCCACCACCGCTGGCAAATGTATGAGTGGACGGTCCAGCCCTGGGGGGGGGTCGGATCCTCATTAAGTCCAGCTGCACAGGGATATTTGTATATGAATGCCCCTATCTCTAGTTATCACATTACAACAAACCGGAATTCAACAAACCATAAACTGATTTATTGGTTTTTTGAAAAATCCAGGCCACAGTCTCTCAAGTTTAGAGGTACTACAGACAAATAGCTTAAGGCTTCCTGGATTCCTACTTTCCGGATGTGCTTGCTTTGCAGGAGTTTGTAAATTGCATCGTTATATACAAGTGGCACTAGAAGTGTTGCAGTTTATAAATTTGTGTTGCAAATTAGGACCTGCACTTACCAAAGGTATCAACAAAAAACTGAGTATATGAATCATTTTCATTTTAGTGAAATTTTGCAAGCCACCAGCATCATGTTTTTTTTCTTTTATGCACGTGCATTTTTATATTTCCATCACTCTTCTTAAGCATATTCTGGGTTTATGTGGGCTGTTTAAAACTTTCAGTTTCAGAAATGCCTGCAGGGAAGGTAATAACTATTGTTAAAAGAGAATATCGCCACAAACATGTCCTTCAAACGAGTTTCAAAATGGAGAGCCATATCTTGAGGTTTCGGCTTCTCCAGTTCAATGCGTCTCTAGCAGGCTATTATCCTTGATAGCTTTTACTAAATCCCTAAAGAGAAAAAGAATATTATAAAATAATGTGATGGTGTATAAGAATTGGCCAGTAATGGCTCAATTGCTTTTGGTGATCTGTAACTAAAAGTGGTGATAGTTGGTTGCAACTCAATTTCCACATGCTGTGAGTTTTTTTGGTATTGCAGGTGATCTAAAAAACTGAAAGGCATTTAGCACAATTTATTGCCTATTTCTTTTTGGCATCGTATTTTGGATGTTCAAATGACGGCGCATACTGGTTTGATCTAACACTGGAAATCTTCTTTGTTAAGAAAGAGTAGAAGGTGGTACTGCTAATCTGTGACGAACTCAACCATCTTATTATATCACCGTCAACGTGAGGGCCATGAAACGTGTACAGCTGCTATGTGGAAGCTAGGTAAAGCAGATTATAAAATATTTTTTGCTACTGGAATCTTCCATAAACTGATGGGATGGAGGAAAGCTTCCCAAACAGTTTTAGCAACTTCCATATGGCACTTTATTCTTTCTTATTCGTCTTCAATATGGCCACCATTATCCCCTTTGTAGAATTATTCTTTGTTTGGCTTAGGTTTATACTGGAGTAATTTACTGTGGACTGGCCCTATGCCAGAGATCTCAATTAGACATTTATTATGGCATAGAAAGCATTCTGGAAAAGAGTCTTCCCCATGCATTAATTGCTTATCTCTTGAGCATCTGTTTTTCCATATGCTGTCATTCTCTTCTACTTTTTGGAAAACTGTACACAGGGGAAGTAATGCATATTGTATTACTCTAAACACAGAAGATGTTTCATCTGACGACAGTATCATAGCGTGATGAGCTGCGTATTCGAATGGGTTACCACAGAGATTATGCCATAGGCAGAAGTTGGTCTGCTTTTGCTCTGTGTTTGCCATTTCCCCCCTTTTCCCTCTCTGTTTCTCTTTTGTGCTGAGTCTTAAATAAATAGATAGATGCATTTTCATATAATTTTGTATAATGCTTTCCAGGGAGCAACCTCCTCATTCAACTGCCACATGTCAAGTGTACCGTAATCAGCTGTCGAAATTAAGCAAAGTCTGTGCATGAACCAACTCTTAAAAGACTTACACTGCAGCTGGTTTGAGAGCATAAACACAACAGGAAGGAGAAATGTGTTATAATCTGAGGCATTCAGGAATTCTGCCTGCTGTAGTTTACCAAGGTCTTGGCTGCTGTGTGATGTACAAAGCCACCAACAGAACTTTCACACTTGAAAAACATTCCTCGTTCAAGCCACAGGAATATACCTTTAGACACTTCAAGCTCTCGTTTTCTTCCTAGTCACCTCACTGTTTGAGAAATGCAACTTGCTTCAAAATGACCCTTACTATAAAATATAGAGCCATAGCTCCATAAAACTCTATGGGAAGCATAAAAATTCACAGCTCACTTGGGTTCATAACTCAAAAATCAACTCACTCGCCCTTCTTCCCAATTCCTGGAGCTACTCCATTTCTCTTTTAGTTCATGGACAACACTATTGTGCAAGGTGGCTATGTAGCCTTTACAGTCCTCTGTTTGAAGGACTGCCATAAATCAGTCCTCTTTTTGAAAAGCTGTTCAAGACTAGGATAAAGATAAAGAACCGTACAATGATAGAATAAGGGCCTTGAAATTTCAAATTGGTTTCTGTATAGCAGACTGACCCTGGAATGCAGGTGATATTACCAGTTCCCCTGCTACGCTGAGAAGTAATGTGGTTTTTTTTCTATTTAAGCTGTATGCAAACCTGTGCTATTGTTTTCTTGTGATGCACTCCATCTTTTGAAGACATGTTTGCCACCCCACGAAGCTTTGATTTGGTCTTTGATTCTTCTCTGCATTTTTATTCTTACAACAGTCCACGAGCTATTCCTAGGGGCTAGATAGGTCAGCGAGTTCCAGCAAATGCAGCAAAGAGTTTTGTTTAGCTCAAAGACAGACAAGATTTTGCTTGACAATAACTACTGTGAATTTCACAGCACTTTATCAGATGCAAGCGATGCCAAGTTAGACCTGTTTGCCTTTAAGGTGCAACACGTTTTATAGAATCATAGAATAATGGAGTTGGAATGGGCCTGTAAGGTCAGTGAGTCCAACCCCCTGCTCAGTACAGAAATCCAAATCAAAGTAGATCTGACAGATGGTTGTTCAATTTTCTCTTGAATGCCTCCAGTACTGGAGCAGTCACCACGTCCCAAGGTAATTGGTTCCATTGTCATACTGCTCTAACAGTTTGGATGTTTTTCCTGATTTTCAGCCAGAATCTCGTAACTTGACCTTTTTGTTCTGTTTTGTTTTCCACTGAAGTAGGTTAAAATATCCAGTGTGATATAGTGGATAAAGTGATAGACTAGGACTCAGTAGACCTGGATTTGAATCACCACTCAGCCATGGAAGGTCACTGGGAAAATGGACCTGGTAAAACCATTCCTTTAAATATCTCATTTACCTTTAAAGCCATGTTAGGGTTGCTATAAGTCAGTTCTGACTTGACGTCACACAACAGCAAGATCAACAAGGTTAAGTTGAGTGGAACTGACTGGAACAAGATTGTTGGCATGATGGCCAAGCAGGGATTTCAACTTTGGTTTCCTGAGTCTTACTCTCACACTCTAGCCGCTATACCATTCTGGCTGACACATATTGCTCTCACACCCTCTCAATGCAAGGTTAACAAAAACCGTTTCCTTTATGTTTCCTTTTGAAAACTCCAGTTATGGCCAAGCATTTGTGTCCTTTTGAGTACTTCCCTTGTAACATCTCCATTCCCTCAACTTTATCATTTTTGATGCATGCTATTAGCATCTCTCATTTAAAGGGATGTGTTCTCTCAAAATATGCAACATTAGGGCGAACATTTAATTAATGTACAGAAAACCAAATTGATCTTGCAATGACTTGGTATTTTAACAATGCAGTCCTAACTGTGTTGATTCAGGTGTTTATCTCACTCTGTTGAGAGAGCTGTACTTGTCGATAAGTATCTATAGGATTGCAACCAGGCAGTACAAACTATGCATACTTATTCTGAAATAGGTTCCAATGTTGCTGTTGTTTAGTCGTTAAGTTGTGTCCGATTCTTCATGACATGGAAAATGTTTTCCATGTTTATTGGGAAAAAACGTTCTGAAGAAGAAGTCTTTCCTGTTCCCGTATCTCTGAAGACGGTTGGGAAATTTCAGCTGGTTCAAAATGCAGCAGCCAGACCGCTGGCTGGGGCTAGTTATAGAGGGCGTATAATGCCCCTGTGCAGCAACTGCACCGGCTGCCAGTCTGTTTCTGGGCCCAATTCAAAGTGCTCTTCAGTATCTATAAAGCCCTATACAGGTGGGGTCCAGGCTATCTGAAGGACTGTATCTCCCCCTATGAGCCTCCTTGGCTCTTAAGATCCTCAGAAGAGGCCCTCCTCTATGTCTCACTGCCACTGCAGATATGCTCAATGGGGACACAGGATAGGGCCTTCTCTGTGGCTGCTCCAAGACTGTGGAGTAGTCTCCCTCAGGAGGTTAATTTGGCCCCTCCCTTTTCTCATTCCACCAACAGGCGAAGAAGACATACCTTTTCAGGCAGGATTTTAACTGTAACATGTAGCTTTTAAATCGAGTCCTTGGATGCTGTTTTTTAGCTTTTCTAGTTTGTTTTTAAATATAATGCTTTCAATCATTTCAAATATTTTGATTATGGTGATTGTTTTTTTAACTTGTGATTTACTGCGTTTCAATTTCACTTGTTTTAACTGTGCGAGCCACCTTAAGTCCTCTTATGGGGAGAAAGGTGGCTTATACATGAGACTAAATAAATACGTAAATAAATAAATGTCCAGAGGTCAGGTAGCTACACAGAACCACCTGTGCCCACACCTGCTTTTGCAAGCCCACTTCTTCTGATTGTTTTTTTAACTTGTGATTTACTGCGTTTCAATTTCACTTGTTTTAACTGTGCGAGCCACCTTAAGTCCTCTTATGGGGAGAAAGGTGGCTTATACATGAGACTAAATAAATACGTAAATAAATAAATGTCCAGAGGTCAGGTAGCTACACAGAACCACCTGTGCCCACACCTGCTTTTGCAAGCCCACTTCTTCCCAAAATACTTCTTACGCAAAGAGTGGTCGACCAGACCAGATGGACGGGATATAAATCAAATAAATAAATAAATAAATAAATAAATAAATAAATA